GGTTTCAATATTTTGACTTTTCCAGTTGTGTGGCACCACTGCTACATCCAAAGAAAATTACGACAAAACCTTCTGTAGTGTTCACCCTACCCTCTGTAACCTAGAGTGCTAACTAGATCAATTGATTTTTCTACTTTGCAGATCATCAGCCTTTTAAGGAAAGCTTCTTTATGTCATTTTTTTATGGATGCCTTATTCACTGTATTGGCAGCATTCTGTTTTCTATTGAAAACAGATGGAAAGTACTTGTTTAGATCATCAGTCATGTCTCTACATACAGAAGATTCAAATTGTCAGTCCTGCAGCCCCATCCTTTCTTTTTCTACCCTTTTTAATCTTTGTTTCTAGCATAATTTCAGGGTTCATCTTTGTGTTGGATCCTAATTGAGTCCCTTTTGTCCTCCCTTTATTCCTTTTATCTCCATGCTTAATGTATTCAATGTTGTTCTCTACCATATTACTTACTTTAAATTGCCATAAGGCTCCATTTTCTCATTTTAAGCTCCTCATCTTTAATCATCCAGAGACTTGGCTTTGAATCCCACCCTTGCCCCATCGCTGAAATAAGTCTGCTGTAAGCTTTTTAGAGGTATTTGAAAGGGATGTATTCAAACAGTGATAATATAGTTTAAAACTTGGAATTCATTGATATAGTGGTTATTTTACTGAATTAATAATCCAGCCTGAGAATTTGAATTTAGATTTTAAAAACATGGAAATTCAAAGCTACAAGAGTTCATGTACAGTGTATGTTTTACACTTCGGCTTTATTTTCAACTATTTTCGTCCGAGTATCTTTCTGCAGAGCTTGTTGCTTTTTGACATTCTTCAGCATCTATTTATAATTTTTTTCATTCTGTAAGAGCCCTTCATTTGGAGTAAATGTTCTGGTTTAGATATCAATGGCTTACAGCAACTTGGATATTGTCCTGCTAAATGTGGTACACCTTTTCTTTGATCACCAAGCAATAGTACATAAAGTGTTGAAAAAACTCCAAGTCCAACAGCATCTATGCAGAAAGAAACAAAGTTGACATTTTGAGTCCAATTTCTTTAGATCTCCACCCATCTGCAGTACTTTGCTTTTATTTAAGCAATAGTATATACACTCGAGGACAAGCAATAGTATATACTCTCAAGGATACAGATTGCTCAGACGTCCCATGAGTTCGGATCTGGCTTGGGGTCAATATGTTGACAGATCTCCAAGCACATCTTCGGAGTGACTGACAAAACCACTTAACTCACTACAGTAACTAGTCCTTTTCAAAGTCTTTCTTTTATACTGCTCTCTTGGTATGACTGTGTGACATATGATGTAATATATGGTTTTGGCCTATTTTGTTGTTTTTAATTGCATCATTATCCTGTTCAAAGCTTTACTTTCCCTGGGCTCAGAGCTCGTGCTATGATTGAATAACTCGGGCAGTTTGTCTGGGATGTTATTTCTCACAGCTTATCAATCTTCAGTGCTGGACTGAAGGGAGTATTTTCATGATCACAGACAACGAGGCCACTTTCTCTCAAACTAAAATTAATTTGCAAACTCTTGCTGATCTTAACAAATCTGTGCCTAGACCAAATTTCCCATACTGGCTTCTTGTTCTCAGATCAAAATGAAATTCTTTAGTTAGCATACCATATTTCCTCTGTTCCATCCCAGCACCATGAGATAAACTCAACCCACCGAATTCTTCCACAGCCAGTTTACATTCGTTAATGTGAAAGAGAGAAAAGAACTGTTACATGATTCAAAGTGAAAAACACAATACTAAATAAATTATGCATTGGCTTACAGTTCGTCGTCCCTTCTTTTCTCCCATTTTAGGGAAGAAGGAGCAGCTTCCTAAATTGCACATCTTTTCACAACCTTCTCAGCTAAGCTAACTCATTCTGTAATTCTGCCCCTCATCTTTTTGAGGTATAAATTAATAAAAATCAAAAACTATCCCTTTTGAATATATTTCACATCTTTCTCCTGTTTCTTCCTATTATAACGTTCCCATGCATTTTCTCACTTGTAATGGGCATGTTTAAAACTGAGGACTACTAAATTGTCTCCTTTTTCCCTTAAATACTCTAGTTCGCCCTAAGTGTCAGAGCTTTATGATACTAAATGTAGTTTTCTACTTTGTACATTATCTCTGCTTGCATTGACTCCTTGGTGACTTTGGGAGCGAAAAAAATATGACAACAAAAACTACGATAGCATATATATGTTTCGGAGATAGCAGGAACTGCAGATGCTGGAGAATCTGAGATAACAAGGTGTAGAGCTGGATGAACACAGCAGGCCAAGCAGCATCAGAGGAGCAGGAAGGCTGACATTTTGGGCCTAGACCCTTCTTCTGACAGCTTATCAATCTTCGGTGCTGGACTGAAGGGAGTATTTTCATGATCACAGACAACTTCTGAAGAAGGGTCTAGGCCTGAAATGTCAGCCTTCCTGCTCCTCTGATGCGGCTTGGCCTGCTGTATTCATCCAGCTCTACACCTTATTATCTCATAGCATATAAATATCTGGATTTAATATTTTGTATCAAAAACAAAGTACTAGAGAAACTCAGCAAGACTGGCAGCGTCTGCAAAGGGAAAAACAGTTAGCATTCCAAGTCCTGTGAAGCTTCATCAGAATGGTTTTGACAAAAGATCACTGGACTCAAAATGTTAACTACATTATTCTCTACAGATCCTGCCAGACCTACTGAGTTTCTCCTGCACTTTGTTTTTGTTTCAGATTTCCAGCATCCACAGTCCTTTGTCCTTTGTTCTTATTTTAATATTTTGTTTGCTTCTTCCCAGTCGAGAGACATTTGACTTTGAGGATGACTGTGACAGTTTGAGCTGGGAAGAAAATGAAGAAACTCTACTGCTTTGGGAAGATTTTGCTGAGTACACAGCTATTGTGGAGCCTCCAACTGAGGTACTCGTGTCCATAAGTGAATAATTCAGTGTACACTGCAAAGTTTTAACTGAAGGAATCTGTCAAACTATGAATATTATTTTTAAAAAAACTCTGGTCCACAGTTCTACATTATTTAGGTGTTATTCATTATGAAAGCCTTTGTCTTGAACAAATTGTCTAACACAGATTCTGATTGAATGAAGGCAATATGTTCCGCTGGGTTAAGATCTCAATGAAACCATAGGTGACTTCAAAATAAATAAGTAGTTTGCTTCTCTAAAATATAGAAAAGAGCTCAGTTTTGCCCTCCCTGCCCTGACCTTCCTTACCCTTGCATCTTGGTAAAGTGACCATTTTAACCTCAGATCCAATACTTTTGGGTGATAAGCTCAAATCATTTATTTCCCTAATGAGCAAGTTGTATAATTTTGTTGTTTCACTCCTTGCATAATATACAATATTGCTCATTACCATCTCTCCACTGAGAAGTCAGCAAATGACCTACACCTCCCAGCTCCCAGAGGTTGTGTTCATGACCGTTAGTGAACTGAATAATCTGGCCTCTGTTTACCCAGCTTCTGATTTTTCTTTTCCCTCCCCCTCCAGGATACCTGGATGGCACAATGTGTGGAGATTACAGTAAGTACTAGCCTGTACTCCCATGATATCTATATCTGAGTGGTGTAACACTGCCAGTTATGGGTAATGTCATTCCATCTTCATTGGTGCTTGATTCCTTAAAGTCCTCCCAGTACAAAATGTATCCTTCCCAATGGTTCAATCTCTGAACAGAGTGGCAGAATTGACAGGTTGTAGATAGAGAGGGGGAAATGTTTTATCCTAAATGAGCTCCTGTCACTTTTTTCAGTCTCAACACTAAATCTCAGTTGTATACAGACGATGTCACACAATCAACAATGATCACCCAACCACAATTGTCAGCTCAAAAGCATTTGCTTTGCAGATGTCAGTCAATAACTAAGTTGTTTGTTTTGCTCATGCTGATCTCAAACTTCATGAAGGGTAACATGTTAATATTTATCTAGTCTGGTCTCAAATGCTGGGGCACAGTGCATATGTTTGCTTTCTACAGGGTATTTTTCATATTTATAGGTATTGGAGTAGTTAAAAATGTATTATTGCTTTACTCAAAGGATGAAACTTTGGAAACAGTTATTAAAGAAACTGAATCGCTCTTCAAAACTAGAGAAAAGGAGTATCAGGAAACCATTGACCAAATAGAGGTGAGATCTTGTTCAGTGTGCATTAGACATGACCTGATGTTAAATAATTCCTGAACATAATCTCATGCTATGCATCAACTTGCTGTACCACCGTCTATTTCTCCTCCCTCAATGTATGAGTTACCTCCTCTTTCACAACTAATCCACTCATCGCACTTCACTCATTGCATCTTTCTTTTGCTTTAGCTGGAGTTGACCAGTGCCAAAAGCGATATGAACCGCCACCTCCATGAATACATGGAAATGTGCAGCATGAAACGTGGCCTCGATGTGCAAATGGAAACCTGTCGGCGGCTCATTAAACAATCAGGAGGGAGGTAAAAAGTGCTACACATTTACTTGAGCCAGCTTTCTGACTCCTAGTCTGCTCTACCTGTTTTTAGAGCTGATACCAAGTCCGTGTGAATATTTTGCAAGAGCAAGAGCAATAGTCTATCACTGTTAAGCAATGACATTCAAGAATTAAAGAAGGGGACAAAACGAGGAACAACAGCAGAAATAGAATGAATTAGTTCAATCAAGTACAGAAAGAAGAATAAACATAAGATCAGATTGAGGGAGGAAAAGCACAAAAAATGGTGGGGGGAAGCAAAGCATTGCTGATGCTGGAGATCTGAAAATACAAAGTGTTGGAAAAAGAAACTTAGGCCTATCAGCATTTGTGGAGAGAGATAGTTAATGTTTTGAGTCCAATAACACTGTTAGAAAAAATTTATATTTGACTATTTCTAAATGACTTAAATTTAACCACCCAAAGAATGAGATTCCACTGTTTTAAATTGTTCAAATTCTAACACTATAGGGCTAGTGAACAATGATCAGTTGTTGAAAAATGTACTTTGTTAACTACGAAATACAACTTTTAAAGGCAAGTATAATTGACGGTCTGTGTACAGGTCCAGCAAGCAACTAAAAATAATGGGGAGGGAGAAATTATGATGTGTTTGTGGGATCAAAGGAGCCCAGCAACATAAATCAACCAAACAAATTCTAGGGACTTGTAATTAATGGCATCTCTCTTAAACTACTGAACCTTTTGGTCAAATTCTCCATGAATCACCATTAAAAATTCTGAATGTATTGTCTGAGTGGCTAATAGAAGCTGTCAAATGGAAAGTGAATTCTACTTGAAAGGGGGGGGATGTTGCAGGGCTGTGGAGAAAATGAACAAGTAGGTAATGTTGTTTTTGCAAAGCAATGGTGGACATGATGGGGCAAAGGACCTCCAATGCTGTAAGACTATGATCTCATTGCCTGATTTTGTCTAGTTGACTTAATTAGAAACTTGTGTTTCTCTTCTCTATTTCCTCCCCTGCTCTCTCCCGCCCTAAACCCAACAGAAAATCTCCATCATTCAGTTCTGCAGCAAGTAGTGACTCAGGGAACACAGATGAAATCACTGATGAATTTGAACGAGATGGTGAAGGTGATAGTTCTGTGAGCTGATGAACTGATACCTAGGAAATGGACTCCATCTGCCTGTACCTACAGCAGTTACCTTTAACCCTATTTTTTCTAGGGTGCAAAGGGCTTTGTTCATGTACATATTGTCAAGCCCTGAGTATTGTTGTTGTACAGAACAGTACCATAAGATGAAATTGGCAAAACATTGAGGATTTTCACCTGGTGCAGAAACCCACCATGATGTTGACTACTATGCAAGCGGCTTGCCTTACAAATCAAGAGCCTTCACCTCCCTGGAGGAGACTAACTCTGCAGGCATCTTTTGAAAGAGAAACAAAATGATATCTTCTGAAATATGTATGGTAGCTGTTAATGATTATAGAATGGGATAATAGAATGGTTTATTTACTAAGTGTTCATGTTATTCGTTTGATTGGATCATTGGCCATTCTGGGTTTATACAGGTCTTTAATGTAAACAATTCGAATCTGATTAAACTGCTGTAACTAAGTAAGCAATTGCTGAAACAGTTTGAGCTAGTTGGCATGGTGTATCCATTCTGCACTGAAAGTTAGAATGTAAACCTTGATTGTCTTCATTCTCTAAACTGAAGTTGCTGTAGGGCTGAATTATTGTGACCTGTACAGAATCGTCATTTCATTGGGCTGTATTCAATATCTTAATACTGCCAGTGTTGTATGTGGGCATAAATTATTGTAAAATCCATGTAGGATGCTCTTCATTTCTGAAAAAATGGTTTACATTTATAATTTGAAAACTGGATAATCCATTCGCTAGATAAACCAATACTTACACAAAAAGTAAACTTTGGATAACCATACATGATCAGGATCACCTTGATTTTTACCTTTTTTTCTGAATTGTTGAGCTTCACTTCAACACTGGCCCTAGAAAGAATCTAGATGGAATCTGCCTTGAGGTTGTGCAGAATGGAAATACATGGGAGTGAATGATTCACTGACTATGAATAATGGACTTTGGTGCTTCTGTTCTGTAAATTTTGCATATGACATCAATTACAATCCTTAGAATCCTTCTGCAAATAATTTTAAAACAAATCATACCTCAGTCCTGATTGAAAGAAAATGTTATTTATGAAATACTATAATTTTTAAAGTATTCTAATAAATTAACTATCAACCAGCTGCAACTTCATATGGAAAGTTGCTTTGGTGTAGGTACTTCCAGTTGTGAAAGATCCAGACTAGGTAACACCACAGACACCTGAGCTTATGAGCTTTAGCCAGTCACAGCACTCTTATTCCGTCCACAAGTGGTGATGCTTGGTACAAAAAATGTTAGTTCATTGCTGTCTTTTGCTCTTTTATCAGTTTAGCATGTATAAGTTCAGTTTGTATTTTATTGTTTGAGACTGCATACACTCCCTGGGATGTATCAGTGTTAAAATAAGGGCCTTCCATATTGCCTATCTGACCATAGTGTAGAATGTCACCATCAGTAACGCACTGACTTGGAAATGTTGACTCAAAACTGGAGTTCTTAACCTTCAAAATAATTGTGCATAGTTGATTTTTAAGTGCCCTCCACCTCTAGTTTGATAATTATATATTTTCTCATTCTTTAGCCTATCAATTTTGTAAGTTTCATCCCAGCTACTTTTGAGCTGGTGTTTGTCTGGATTATTCCAGCAGCTTGGTAACTCAGCCTGTGATTATTTTTGCCTTAGTTTTTGCTGTAATGTACCATCTTCACATTGTTAGCAGTCTATGATTAAACAATTTCAGTGATTGGGTGAAGTTCTGGGAATGTAAATTCTATTTTTGTACATAATCAAAGACTTCTCTGAAAGCTATATATAGGAAGGAGGGACTGTTATGAAAGGAGAACAATCTCTCGAGCTTAACTTGGTCCCATCTTTCAAAAAGCTAAAAAAAAGCCACTCAAATTGTTTTAATGATAATATACATTTGTATAGGACTGAGTGATATACTGTCCTGTTGCCTGTGCATTCTGCTTCAAATGTCATGATTGAGTATCTCAGGCCATAATAAATAGTGGTTTTAATAGGGTAAAGTTGACACTGATGCAACAGCGAATGCTGCACTTGCAGGAACCTGCAAGTACAGGGAGAATTAATCGGACTCAGCAGAAAGAATTGTACTTTGCTTTTGCAGTTTCCCAAGGAATAATGCCAATGCTTATGCAAAAATGAAAATGTTAGTAATTTTTAAATCCCTCTCCATGGCAACCACTGAATTATAAAAACTGTTATAATTTGGTCAACAAGCCTGTTTCTTGTGTCAAGTGTTATGGTAGCTAGAATTAATAAATTTACCCTTTGTTGTGCAAGTATTTACATTTGATGTATGGAGTATAACTGAAGAGATCTGGAGAAAGACTTTCATACTCCAAATACTAAGGTAATTAATATTGTACAGGTATTCCTGTAAGTAAATCAAACAGCTCTATTGATGCTTTTTCCAGTAATGAATTGTGATTTGGCAAACTGAACAAAAGTACTTAACACCTTAACTTCTAAATTTTACTGTGTCTGAGTAATTAAGAGCAAGTTACTTAAACGCTTAATCCATATCTTGTATCTTGCATCTATTTCAGTGTATACATGGAAACATTTTGAAACATTTCTTTTCCTGCATTCATACTTTCGTGGTCTTTTTGCACTTTTCTGAAATGTAAGAAAACCTAACCAATTAGATGAATTTTCATTGTCAAGCCTTCATCTACTGCTTAGTTGGTACTGGCGAAACACTAACTTCTAAAAGATCAATGTACTTTGCCATTATTGTACAGGGTTCCTATCTTTAAAAAAATGAGCCATTTACTGAGCTACCTGTGAATAGAGCAAAGATCTAAATTGTAAAACTGGTCCAAAGCAATTGAATGAAACTCCAGTCAAAACCAATGTTCAGCTGGCATGTTGTGTCCCCCTCTCCTGTCCCCTCTTGAGGTTAGTCCACTGTTCGGGACTTTTTTTTCCTCTGGTGGAGTTTGGCAATGTGAACGTATTGTTCATTTTGAGATTGTGTAAATAGTTGGAACAGGTTTTTCAAATGAATATTATTGAAAGCAATTAGCTTAACATTGAGCCCCAGAATTGGAAAATGTTAAGTGTACCTGCTAGAATGGTTATTAGATTGTGCAGTGCTAATTTGGTGTTAAATCTCGGTGAGGATGACACGTACTCTTGTTCTCAGAAAACTTCGAAAATAAACTCCATTCACTCTAATTGTTGCTTCGGTGGTTATGCTCTGTGCCGTTAATCAAGGACTTGGGACTGTTGCATGTTTAATGATTTGACTTGTGCAATTTCTGTCCCCTTCTACTGTTTAGTGACTACAGTTAGCATCCCTTGTTTTGCCTTTTTTCTTTGAACTTCGTACCCTGGCAAGGATGGCTTTGTAGTGGCTATTAAATAGATTGTTGTGCGGAACTTTTGTTTCCTCGTTGACGGGAGTGTTCAAAGCTTGTTTGTAGGAGTTCATATGGAAGGGAATTTGTTTCAACAAGATATTCTGACTTAATAGATGCTGACATTTCAGTTTTATTTCCCTTCAGATATCTGTACCGACAGAGTAACGATTACAATTGGTTATTGAGCAAGAATTGAAATGTCAATAACATGACCTAATTTTCGCGGCTATCGCCACCATGTGGCGATGTATAGAAAGTAACAGAGTTTTCTAATGCATTAACTTGACATCAGCCATTTTATATATAATCCCATCGTATTCTACAAATATGGATGTGATTTTAATTTATTCCAAAGTGTGAATGCGACACTGACTTAATTGTCAACATCATGGGATTCCATGAAGGGTTATCAAAGGTGCAGAATTGTCAATTTATTCAGATAAAAGCTTGTATGGAATTAAACTGCAAAAGGTCACAATAAAGTGGATGATTAATTTACCTCGCATTCGCAGATGCTGCAGTTTTCTATTATCAGACTATCGTGACGCTGGGTGGGAAAAGTAGCATCTCCCATGTGTGCAAGTTCTGGTGTCCGGTTACAATCGCCCTTCAGCGCAGGATTTGACGCCGTTAGTTAGACTACGCTTGCCCTTATGCTACAGCACTTTGAGATTTATCTTTCTTTGATTTCGTTTCTGCGGCTGTATCGTAAGTTTTTTTTGAAGCAGCTGCGTTAAATTGCTCTTGAACTGAATAGGCTGTGTCTAGTATTGCTTATAAATTGTAAGAGAGTTGACAAGTTACATTCGACAGGTAGTGAAATTGCACCAAAAAGGGGGGAAATAATCGACACCCTCTGGGAATTTTTCTTCAGTCACTGGCATTGCTTGGCCCCCAGCGGAATTATCAGTTAATATCAATATTCTGTCAACATATAGCAAGGCCCGACATTGAAATATTTGAAATAATAATTGATGCATTTGTCATTTACAATTGGCTTCCTAATGCCGCACACTTAAGTTCGCATTGGGTGAGTTTTAAACCTCGGTATGGAGAATCCCTGTTCCAATTGCCAATTCCTATTTAAAGAGTCGTATTCTCGCAGAGCTTCTATTACTTCTTTTATAAAAATCCTAGCCGTGATTAGGAATCTTAAGGCCAATAGAAATGCGAAGATTTAGCATCTCTGGGTTCGGATTCTAGTTAGAAAACCAATGGTCCTCATAAAGAGGAATAAAAATACTAACTGGAACAAATGGGGCTTAAACTGCATTAACGTAGATACTGGTGAAATAATCCAATATTGTTAATTTGCACATGCAAGTCACCAACTCTCACCTGAATTACCTCAGTGATTTGAATTCTTCTATACAGAGGCTGAACCGAGGTCTGTTTACTGACACGAAATTTAGATGCCACTTATTGGAAGTGCACTTCCTATTCCGAAAGAAAATTACATTTAGCAAGATGCAATAAGGAAAAGTTAAGAAACGACATGCAAACTGGTAGGAACAGACTAAATCACAAACTGCCGAGTTCCCTTTAAAAATTCATATCCCCATGCTTCTTAGAGACGATTGTTGCACAAAACAAAAGTTTTTATGTTCTTGAATTACGTACTAGTTAAGGCAGAAAGAAACAGTATTGAACCATTTGTAGGAACTGGAAGAGAATCGTCCCCTCCAAGCTTGCTCTGCAATTCAGTTAGGTTGTGCTGATCATCTTGATTCCAGTTATCAGCTTTGGTATCATACCTCTAACATGTTTACCTAATAAAACAAAATCAGTTTAGTTCTGATTTGTTTTGCTCCTCCCTTCCTCTCTCAGCCTCCCCAAAAGGGTTATTTTTTCTTGGTGGCAATGTTCTAGATCTGTGCTATCTTTTGTAATACTTGTTTCCCCTTGAAAGACCAACTTCAATTTTAAAAGTTATGCTCCCTTACTCTCTACTTTCTCCACCCTCAAGGTGCTCCCTTTCATCACTGTAAACGCAAATGGATACCTTTAATATATAGTCTAAGAAATAGAAGACGAGTCTGTGCAACAGTCATCAATTTAGGTATAGTTAGTAAGTTGCGCACACACCAAAATTGCATAGTGGACAGCCAAGGTTACCTCAGTACAATGGGACCTTGATCAGATGGGTCAAAGGGCTTAGGTGTGCCAGATGGAATTTAATTTAGATAAATGTGAGGTGCTGCATCTTGGGAAGGCAAATCAGAGCAGGACTTACACACTTAAAGATAAGGTTCTGGGGAGTGTTGCCAAACAGAGATCTTGGAGTGCAGGTTTATAATTTGAAAGTAGAATCGTGGGTAGACAGGATAGTGAAGAAGGTATTTGGTATGCATGCCTTTATTGGTCATTGCATTGAGTATAGGAGTTGGGGTGTCATGTTGCAGCTGTACAGGACATTGGTTGGGCCACTTTTGGAATACTGCATTCAATTCTGGTCTCCCTGCTATGGGATAATGTTGTGAAACTTGAAAGGATTCAGAAAAGATTGACAAGGATGTTGCCAGGGTTTGGAGGGTTTGAGCTAAGGAGTGGCTGAATACGTTGGGGCTGTTTTCACTTGAGCATTAGAAGCTGAGGGGTGACCTTATAGAAGTTCATAAAATCGTGAGGGGCATGGATAGGATGAATAGTCAAGGTCTTTTCCCCAGGATATGGGACTCCAAAACTAAAGGGAACAGGTTTAAGGTGAGGGGGGAAAGATTTCAAAGGGACTTGAGGGAAAACTGTTTCATGCAGAGGGTGGTGCATTATTGGAATAAACTGCCAGAGGAAGTGGTGGAAACTGGTACAATTCCAACCTTTTGAAAGGCATCTGGATGGGTATATGAATAGGAAGGGTTTAGAAGGACATTGGCCAAATTCTAGCAAATGGGACTAGATTAAAATATCTGCTTGCCACTGATGAGTTGGACTGAAGGGTCTGTTTCCATGCTGTACAGCTCTATGACTCTAAGAATGCAGGAATGATTAAGGGTAAGAATCCCATTTTAGTTGATCCATTTAGAAAGACTGTGACTCTAATTCTGTCAACTCAATATTGGGCTGGTGTAATTAAGCGGCAGCACCACAATCTCCAAGCCCAAAATGTGCCCAAGCAAATAAGTTTGCCATTTATGTAATTTGACTACTTGCTACAGTTTTGTAAAATTTACTTTATCAATATCCCTCAACTTTCTGATCCCATCAAATTAATTAGTACAGTTTAACTAATGAGAGTCAAGTTTGAATTTATTAAAGGCAAGTTATTTGACTTGTATTCTCTTGAATTTCAGAGACAAGGTTGTTGTGGACATGGACTTTCAAAAAGGAGTTTGATCCGTAATAGAATTGTAAACTTAAAGTCCCTGTGATTAGAAAGGTGATGGTGTGGATTCCAAATTGGCTAGAGTACAGAAAGCATACAATGGTGATTTGTTGTTCATATTGGAGAATTATGCAGTGATATTCCTTCACATCGTTGTTAGGACCACAACTCTTGTATCTGTTAATGACATTAACTTGGGGGTGTACAGGGCACAATTTCAAAGCTTGCAGTTGGAACATGACATGAAAATTTAGCAAATTATTAGGATTATTATAAACTTGAATAGACAAATTGGTGAAGTCAGGAGAAAAATGGCTGATTCATTTTAACAGACAAATATGAAGTGATATCTTTTGATCATGATTTTGAGGTAATTTTAAAGTGAATTATACAGTTTTGAATTTATGCATATACTCAAATTTTTGAAGATGGAAGAATAAGTTGAGAAACCTAGTAAAGCATATTGAAACAGAAAGAAATTGCTGGAGAAACCTCAGCAGGTCTGGCAGCACGTGTGAAGAGAAGGCAGAGTTAACATTTCCAATCCAGTGCCTTTCATCAGATGAAGGATCACCCAGAACCGAAATGCTGACTTTGCTTTCTCTCCACACATGCTGTTGAACCCGCAGAGTTTCTCCAGAAACTTGTTTTTGTTTCAGATTTCCAGCATCCACGGTTCTTGGTTTTATTAAAGCATATTTGATCCTTGGCTTTATTAAGAGAGAGACAAAGAGAACCATTTCTATGATGGGTAAAGTCGAACCATTGGTTGTGTTTTTGGTTCTTTTGTCAGCATTCAATAAGCTTGTACCAGATAAAATCTTGTGGGGTTGGTGGCACTACATTAGCAAAGGTAGAGGATTAATAAGCACAGAAGACAAGAATAAACACCACTTGGGTTGGCAGGCTGGTACTAAAAGGATGCTGCAAGCATCAGTGCTGAGATTTCAGATGTATAAAACTTGCAGTATGTTAATAGCTTAAATGATGAGACTGAGTATTGTAATGTATCAATTTGCTGATGTTACAAAGGTAGAAGGAAAAGTAAACTGCGTGAAGAACAGGAAACTGCAGAGGGATACAGATAGTTGAGTGGACAAAGAAGCTGTTAGATGTAGTAAAATGTGGCAAAATATCATGTAGTTTGCTTCATAGAACAGAAAAAATAGTTTCTCACCAGTTTACAATATTCTGTTAAATGTTGCTTTGCAGAGTGATTTGGGCATCCTTGTACACAAATCACAAAGTTAATGTGCATGTATAGTAAACTACTGGGAAGCCAAATGGGATGGTTATTTATTGAAAATAATTAATGTATAAGAGTAAGGAAATCCTGTTTTAATTGTACAGGGATAGTAGGAACTGCAGATGCTCAAAAATCTGAGATAACAAGGTGTAGAGCTGGATGAACACAGCAGGCCAAGCAGCATCATAGGAGCAGGAAAGCTGACATTTCGGGCCTATGTACAGGGCTTTATTGTGATCACACTTGGAGTAATATACAGTTTTGGACTCCATATACGTATGCATCTTAGCAGTGGTGCAACAAAGGTTCACTAGATTGTTTATAGGGATGAGAGGGTTGGCCTTTGAGAAGAAATTCAGCAGAATGGGCCTGTATGAAGTGATTTTGGTGACATTCTAAGATTCTAAAAAGGCTTGATGGGTTAGATGCTGAGGAGCTATTTGTCTATAACAAGGCAAGTTTCAAAATAAGAGGTTATTTATCACCTATGATATTTTGAATCTATGGATTTCTGCAGAGGACTAAGGATGCTCTGGCATTGAGTATATTCAAAGCTGAGATCAATCAATACCTTATTCTAAGGAAATTGAGGTACATGGCGATTACATAGGAAGGGGAAATTGAAATAAGATCTTATTTAATGGCAGAGCAAATTTGAGGGAATGCAAGGCCTACTCCTATAATGTTACAGATTAAGGAAGTTTATGAAGGATGTCAAAATCTTGAGTGTGCAGAGATGATTTTATTACAATTATACCGGGAATGAGGGACATGAGTAATGTGGAGATACCAAAGAAATTGGGTTTGATGCCTTCAAGCAGAGAACGTTAAAAGGAGATTTGACATAGGTGTTTAAAATTGAAGAATTTTGATACCGTAATTTTCACTGGATGAAGAATCATTGACCAGAGGACAGAGATTCAAGGTGAT